TTGATTTCCCATTTGTCCCATTTGTTTACATGGAGAAGGCAAGGTTTAAGACCTATACTGCAGCCAGAAATGTTTTGGCTTTCCTCTTTACTTTTCAGGAAGTCTATAGCACACTCAGACCCAGAACTGGGTTTGCATCAGTTGTGTACTGTCAGTGCTGGGTTGTGTCAGGAAGGGCATCTGGCATAAAACCTGTGCCAAATAATGTGCAGATAATTCTGACGTACTGATGCAAAAGAGAGTTCAAGTTTTTTTTCAATGGTCTAATCAGATTCAATGATCTTAGCTAAGCTACAGCTAAAAGTGCTACCGCCAGACCCGGAGATCGGCTGAACGGATTCGAAAATGTTAAAACTCAATTGTTTAACTCTAGGGGAGTTGGAAAATGAGCCTATTTTAAAAAATAGTGGAGTGTTCCTTTAAGACTCTCATTTCCACTTCATAATCCATTTAGCAATAAAGCAAGGAGGATTGAAAGGTCATCACAGAGGTCATGCACAGGCACTATAAGGTTGCTAATGTTGCACAGTATAATTGAGTTTAAGAGCTTGACTACCTTTACTGACTAGCAAAAAGCAGTTATGTGAATGCAGTTATGTGACAAAAAGCAGTCATTAATGTCAGTGTTCAGCAGCATTATGCTGCTATAATGCTGAACAGTTCTGTTGAGTTAGCACAAAAACAACACACCGGCAGAAATCAATGTAATGGGCTGCCAAATATGGCAGTATAGGCATTAATGAATTATGTGAACAACAGTTTAACCGAATGCATAATTTTCTGTCAAATATGCAAAGTATAGGGGTTCAGTATGTCGTTTATAATTAAGTATAAATCTCATAACAACAAAAAGCAAACAGCAAAACAACAGAAAGGCTTTGAAAGCATCTAAAGCTTTTGAGTATGTCACTGATTTGTTTTGAATAAACGTTATACTTGAATGAATGGTGTGAACAGATGTCTCCTTAGAAAAAGGCTTAACAGAGCATTTAATTAAGGCAGACATATTGAATAATATATATTTTTTTAAATGTAATGCTTGCAGAAATTAAAAGCAAGTGGTGGCAAATTACTTAGAGAGGAACAGATGGAATATGCCATCGGAGGATCACAATGCCGGGTAAATTGATTAGCTTTATTTTAAATAGAGATGAGGGTTATATGCACCACAACAGTTAGACAGATCGATGGATGGCTTTGTATATTGCTCTGGTCATGTTTATAATGTTGGAGTATGTTCAGGAATTGATTGCTTTTCAATAGAACAAAGCTCTTATTATAAATAAATCACATATGTGATCTATTTAAACTCTCACCCTCAGTTTTATGGTTTATTGACTTTCACCCTTGAAAAATAAAATGTTAAATATAATTTGTGTTCTTACTCACAAATGCTTCATGCAGGTGCGTATGAGCATGCATAATGTGATATTTGGTTGTACAGTCAATTGATAATGGGAATGACTGACTGACTGTTAGTTGCTAGGTTACTGTTCCATTCTCTAATTGGCCACTTTGATTGAAATTCCATTAAAAATAAAAGGAGCTCTTCTGTTGCTGCCTCCCAGTATTTTGTTTGGGACTGTGTTGATTTGCAGTGACTGAAAAGGCTCATAAAAACATGCTGTTATGCTGTTTCTCCTCTCTCTCTTCTTCATCTCTTTTTTTCACTTTTTAAACAAACAGTATTACAGGAGCATGTAGTTCTAGAACTTCTAGCGTGATAGGCTACGCCTCATGATTTGGATTTCACTGAATGCTTGCTGGGACACAACTGTCATCTGTGACGATTCACAAACATACACTGTCAAATTGATCTTTTAAGTGTATGGTTGCTGTTCAAGAAAGTGCTGGCAAATTCTGCTGCCTTCATTACAGTGACAAACTGGTCAATAATGCAGAAACTGGCAGCTATTTGGGTGATTTCGTGTCTCTAAAGTTGGCTAGCCTAGTACAGTCAGGTTAGTCCTTTGAAACAAAGTTTGGTCTCCCTCTAGTGGTACTTCGCATTTCTGCTTATATTTAATTTGCCAGTTTGATCTTTGATCTAGCTTGACTTTAACCGTCAAACTTTGTCTTTGACAATTCAACGACCTAATAATTCAAACCATTAGTCTTTTCTCAATCCATTGTTAAAATTCAGCATTCGATTTTTGTCTCTGACATGGTAACATTATGTTTAAACGCAGATTCATACTTAATCATAAACAACGGGAAATCACATTTTGTGGGAAAATGGACGAAGAGCATAAAATTGCCCCGAAACTATTGAAAATGGAGCTGAATTGAAAGAAGTCTGATCTTTCACCTAAAGCCTGGCTCACACTACAGGAGTTTTAAAATCCTAACCGATTATGAAATCTGGTTGCAGCACACACATATAGCCTGGCTCACACTACAGGAGTTTTAAATCCTAACCGATTATGAAATCTGGTTGCAGCACACACATAAGGAGAATCTTTGCAGATTATCTTCCCTCAGATCTTAAACATGCACACACTACAAGATTTGAAAATCGTGGCGCATTACACACTACAAGATATTAAGATTATCGTACAGTGGGAGCGCTTCACGTGATCTCACGCAGCAGATCGTCATTTATATTTCAGTGATGTTTACATATTAGCTAGTGATACGTTTTCGACACATTATACAGACAGTTGTGTTACTACAAAACTTCAAGAAGCAGTTTAACCCGTCTCCACTATCCAATGGAGCCGTACAGCAGCTGTTTTGCAGTGGCGCATTGGCTATTGAGAAAGTAGGCTACTGATGTAATCATTTAGCAGTCATCATCCCGATTTAAATCCTAAATATCAAACATGTTTGATATGATTGGGGCGGCCCCGATTTGTGTGCGAGCAGATCGGGAGGTGCAAGATTCGATCGGTGAATGCCTCACATTACCAGATAATCCGTGCCAAACATTGGGACCGATCGAGGTGCTCGACAATATTTTTGCTCCGATTCTCGGGAGGGGAAAATCTGGGCTAAATCAGGCTAAAAATCCTGTTGTGTGAGCCAGGCTTTAGGCTGTTCTTTGTTTGATTCATTCACCTGTGATTTTTAGCAATGCTGTTGCCAACTTTCGCGAGACAAATAAGCAACTGCAGCTTCAAAAACAAGCCCAAAACAAGACCAATATTTTTTGATAATTTATTATCATCAATATTATTTATTATCAATTATTTATTACCAATAAATGAGCCCGCAACATATTAAACTGAAACTATTATCTGAACAGCAAAAACATAAGTTATTTTACAAAAATCAGCAAACTGCAACAAAGCAGGAACAAAACTCATCTCCAATCATCTGTGAGCAGAATAGGACTGGACAGATGGAGAAAAACACAAGAGCTTCAAAGGGGAGCTGTAACATAGCCACATATTTATAGCCTACTAAAATATTGGCTATTCGAACCAAATCTACTCTTAGTATTAGAATAGGCCTACTTGTTTTTTATTTTATTTATTTATTTATTTTTTTACAGCCCGTGATAATTAATACATAACTAAAACATTGTAACAATTAAAAATTAGGCTACCTTATAAAGGAAAAAAGTCATCCCACTCCTCTACGTCTACTACTATCATCGCTTGGATTACAGCGTCACGCGCCTTCTTTTTGAAAGTGATTTTTCTTCGATCCCTCATTGAAGAAAAATCACGTTCAAAAAGAAGGCGCGTGCGGAGAGGGCGGAATATTTGACAAATTATGCTACAGCATATTTTTGCACTGATTGGCTATTAACTGTGAGCAGACAGAGTGTCAATCAATGCACTGGAGAATACAGTGAACATAAATGAAAAGAAACGAAGTTGCTTGTCAGGTTTTCCTAACAAGCAACCATCTTTTTTAAATAAACCCAAAAAACCGCAACCCGCGACCCGGGATTTTTTAAAGCAACTTTACAAAAAAGGAAGCCTAATAGGAATATATAATAGGAAGTATAATACGTGGACTTGGCAACTCTGGGTCCGACTCACAGAACTGTCCGTTTACGAGAAGATCATAATAAAAACATAAATCAATTTCTAAACTATATATGTATATATATTTGTGTGTGTGAAATTAAAATAAAATTATTTATTTTTAAGAATTAATATTTTTTTATAAATTAATACAGCATTAATTAATACAGTGTGTGAGAGAGAGAGAAAGAGAGAGAGAGAGAGTGAGTGTGTGTATGTATATATATACTGATTATAATTATATATATATATATAAAATTATGTATTTTTAAAAAATATATATTTATTAATTTAGTTTATACATTTTATTTTTCAAATATTATATAACTTTATATAATATAAATGACATTTAATTCTATATATTTCATTATTTATATTTTAACCTTATATATACACATTAAACCATACAAAATGTTCTATTATTTGGCCATTAAAATAACCTGTATTTCGCCACAGCAGTCAAATCCTCGGTTCACTATAGTTATCTCTAACAGCACTATGGTGCGTTCAAGTCATGTCGGATAGATCGTATTTACGAGTTGAACGCACATGAACGCCACCACAAAGTCGTTATTACGAGTGCGAAACTCGACATGTTCTTTAAGCCCCGAGTTTCCGAGTTGGGGGGGCGTGCGTGTCAATGAGAAACATGGCGGAATCGATGGATGCTGTAGTTGACGGTACATTTTTTGTTTAAATTGATAGTTTAGTTGTCCTATAAACTTAAATTGGTCATGTTCTTGATACGCAGCTAGTTAATGAAATCCAAGTAAAAAAATGCTATAATTTTTGCACCTGTAGATGAAAAATCTTTTGATTTGCCATGTTGTATGTTTTAAAAATATTAAAAACGCAAAACACACCTGATGCGAGTTCTTTGCTCTTCGTTTTCTATAAGCAGAGTTAACAGACCCTGTTGTATTTTCTTGTAATTTCTTAAAAGAAGGTACACCGCCATCTTGTGTCGACTAAACTGAACGCACCTGACGTCGTAACGACGACTTGTCAACTCGTAAGTGCGAACGTCCCAGGAGGACTTGAACACAGCATTAGTTAACATTACTTCTCTGGTCATTACGAAAGAACTTCCGGTCAGCTGATAGTGTGTCATCGGTGTTTGCAAACAAATCTACTGTGGCTTCATGCTTGCCCCGTCCACTGACAGCACACACCGCCGCGGTCATGGGAGACAATGATGAACGCGAAATAATCCAGCACCGCGATGACGAGGAGATGGAGAAGACGCGGACGCCGAGGAATCACGCGCGGTCCTTTCTGGAGAGCGTCGCGTCGTCGGAGAAGGACGGATACAGTAGCACGCAGTCATCACACCGCCTGCTCGCCTACAGCGATGCGCTCATCTCCATCATCGCCACTGTAATGGTGAGGAAACCCACAGACAGACAGCCTTTAGACAAAAGGCATGCACTCTTCAACTGACGTCCGCTAGTATATGACAAACCGCTATGAATCACCTGTTCTCCACACAAAGCCTGGGTTTAGGAAATATATACTGTATGATTATGTTTTTTTTAAAGCGTGTCACGATTTTCTTGTGTTCACAGATATTGCCTGTTGCGCATACAAAATTTCAGGATAATGAGGTGAAAAGTTACATTATGTCACCCTTCCAGGAATAGTTCACCCCTTATTTTAAGCTATACCCATGAGATTTCCACAGAAGGCAGACAAACACAAAATAAAGTACAATGTCTTTTCTGTTGTCTATGTTTGTGTCAGAGAAGAAAGAAGGTCATACTGGTTTAGTTAGCAGTGGTTCTCAACTAGGGAGCCTGGACCCGGGACCCACTAGGGGGCCTCAGCACACTTCCAAGTGGCAGCAGGACAACTCAAACGATTAATCGCGATTAATCGCATTCAAAATAAAAGTTATTGTTTACATAATATATGTATGCGTGCTATGTATATTTATTATGTATATATAAATACACACACATGCATGTATATATTTCAGAAAAATATGTTATGATTATATATTAAATATATTTATAATATAAATTATATGAATGTAAATATAGACATGTAAATATTTTCAAAATATATACTGTATGTGTGTGTTTATGACGAGGAGATGGAGAAGACGCGGACGCCGAGGAATCACGCGCGGTCCTTTCTGGAGAGCGTCGCGTCGTCGGAGAAGGACGGATACAGTAGCACGCAGTCATCACACCGCCTGCTCGCCTACAGCGATGCGCTCATCTCCATCATCGCCACTGTAATGGTGAGGAAACCCACAGACAGACAGCCTTTAGACAAAAGGCATGCACTCTTCAACTGACGTCCGCTAGTATATGACAAACCGCTATGAATCACCTGTTCTCCACACAAAGCCTGGGTTTAGGAAATATATCCTGTATGATTATGTTTTTTTTAAAGCGTGTCACGATTTTCTTGTGTTCACAGATATTGCCTGTTGCGCATACAAAATTTCAGGATAATGAGGTGAAAAGTTACATTATGTCACCCTTCCAGGAATAGTTCACCCCTTATTTTAAGCTATACCCATGAGATTTCCACAGAAGGCAGACAAACACAAAATAAAGTACAATGTCTTTTCTGTTGTCTATGTTTGTGTCAGAGAAGAAAGAAGGTCATACTGGTTTAGTTAGCAGTGGTTCTCAACTAGGGAGCCTGGACCCGGGACCCACTAGGGGGCCTCAGCACACTTCCAAGTGGCAGCAGGACAACTCAAACGATTAATCGCGATTAATCGCATTCAAAATAAAAGTTATTGTTTACATAATATATGTATGCGTGCTATGTATATTTATTATGTATATATAAATACACACACATGCATGTATATATTTCAGAAAAATATGTTATGATTATATATTAAATATATTTATAATATAAATTATATGAATATAAATATAGACATGTAAATATTTTCAAAATATATACTGTATGTGTGTGTTTATATATACATAATAAATATACACAGAACACACACATATTATGCAAAGAAAAACTTTTGTTTTGTATGCGATTAATCACGATTAATCGTTTGACAGCACTAATTTAAATCTACTGCCACTACTGCTTTATGTAATTGAAGTTTTAAAATGAGTAGTCATTATAGCAGATGTTTCAGAAATACCTTGAGGGCTTTAAAATATCGGGGTCCTTGTTTGAGCACCACTGGTTTATGTAAACATGAATGTATGAAAATCATTTTTGGGTGAATTGTTCCTTTAAGACATAATTTAAACACACATTTATTGTATTTTTATCTCCTAACTGATCTCTCTATATTCAGGAACTGAAGCTGAGTATTCAGGCTTTGCTCACCACCAAGGTTGGTGTCTACTTGATGACTTTTTTGATTGTCACCGTTGCTTGGGCTGCACATATCCGGTGAGAGCCCTCAAGCACTACACTCTATCAAGTAGTAACTTCATAGAACTGCTGTTTTCATTCATTTGCATAAAGATTTCACTAAGCATTTGGTTTTAGGTTGTTTCAAGTCATTGAGCGTATTGACGACACTCTTGCACTGCTTAATCTGGTGAGAACACCAACAAAAGTATTCCTCCTAATGAATGTAAAGTAGCTGTATATTCATTTTTAAAGTGTGTGTGTGGTGACTTTTCGTCATCTCAATTCTATTCTATTTCAGGCATGTATGATGCTTATAACCTTTCTACCATACACAGTGAGTCATTCTACTGATGTTTTGAAAGATTGCTTAGTTCAGCACTATTTGACTACTTCCCTTTTGCCTCCTCGTATGTCTTTAAGGTAAATCTCCCTGTTTATGACCGTTTTTAATGTTTATTTTTTGTTTGTTTGTCTTCTTTTAGTTCTCTCTCATGGCAACATTCCTTAATAATACCCTCGGCATCCTCCTCTTCTGTGCTTGTGTCATGCTGATTGGTTTAATTCAGGTGAGAACGCTTGCATGTGCTGAAAAACATAACCAGCAGAAGATGCTTTGAGTTTTGTTTGACAGTCATATGTTTTTGTGTCTTTAGGCCTTGATTGTCTTGTATGGATTCAGCCATCCTTTCCTTCTCAGTGATCAGATCCAAATGTCTGAGAATCAGGCTTATTATAAGAGACGGATACTTGAAGTCATCATGAGGGTTCCTATCATGTGCCTGTTTGCCAGCGTCTTTTCAGCCATCTTTATCCAAGTGGTACTGGATTTGAGCTTAAAGGGTTCATATGATGTTGATAAAAAGAACATTATTTGGTGTAATGAAATGTGTTTATGCGATTTAAGGTTCAAAAACATTATTTTCCACATACTGTACATTATTGTTTCTCCTCTATGCCCCACCTTTCTAAAATGCGTCGATTTTTACAAAGCTCATCGGTCTGAAAAGCAAGGTGTGCTGTGATTGGCCAGCTATCCAGTGCGTTGTGATTGGCCGAATACCTCAAGCGTGTGACGGAAATGTTACGCCCCTTACCATACTGTGATGCCCTGTCCGGCCGTAGCGACTAGACAAAAACATTAAAACCCATTATAAACAAGGCATTTGTTGCATCCAGTGGAGACATAATTACAGATTATAATGACTTATACTGTCTTTTTACGAGTTGCGTTGCATCGCGCCGCGTAAACATAAAATCATGTCTGCATTTTGCATCCAGTGGGGACATAATTATGGATTATAATGACTTATACTGTCTTTTTACGAGTTGCGTTGCATCGCGCCGCGTAAACATAAAATCATGTCTGCATTTGTGATCAGAGAAATGACAAACAACAAGCGCTACTCTACACTGCTCAAAATTTGCGTTTCAATCATCAGTGGCAAATTCTTTATATAAAAAACATACTTACAGACTGTGAGTCAGAACAGCCGGCATTGTAGTCTACTCTCCCAAGATCAGGAAACAGTCCTCCATAAAATGTGCTGCACACATCTGAATATTTGGGTTGAACTGTTCTGGAACAGTGTTGTAAATACAACTTAACCACTGCTTTCTAGTCGTGTCCTCTTTTGGAAGACCAAACAAAGTAGTTTCGCTTTCACAACGAAACACACAGTGTCACATACGGCGGGCTTGAGTGAGCAGCGGCCAGCGGATTCGACGAAGGAACGGCCGGTTATGCAAATCTTCCCACATCGTGACGTAGATATGTGGGGGCGTGTTAGATGAGCCGTTTTAGGTAGGCGTGGTTAACTCTTAACTTTTATAAAGAATATCTCTTTGGATTTGAGACTTTAGTGTTTGCAACTTTACAGATCTTCTTTATGCACCAAGAGCTTGTAACACTCCAAAGAGAGAGGAAAAATTTAAATCGCATCATATGACCCCTTTTAACGATTTATTAGTACAAACTATGGCAGCCAATTACAGTGTTTATATAAATCTAACAAATGTATTTACTGTTAAAATTATAGTTTATTTTATTATGTAAAAACAAAATGTTTAGTTGGCGCCGATAGCCTTCTGGGCAGCGCGCCGACATACAGCGTCCGAATCCTGACTCGAGGACCTTTCCCGACCCCTCTCTCTCCCACTTCACTTTCTGTCAGCTCTGATCTGTCCTATCATAAAGGCATAAATGCCAAAAATAAAACTTAAAACAAAAACTAATTTTAAATCACACACATTATAACATATATAACATTTATAATATTTTAATTAATAATATATTTTTCCTCTGGCAGTCCTACATTATTTTGGCTATTGTCATATTCCTGCCATACATCGCTCAGTGTTTAAAATGGATCCGGAGTAAAGCCATCGGTGGTAAGAGCGAACTCTCACAACACTGTACTCTCTTATTCTTATATTGCATACATATTTTTATCATTGTACATACACTGCTGTTCAAAAGTTTGGGGGGATTTTTTTAATGCTTTTGAAAGAAGTCTCTTAAGTCACTGTTTATGTAAAAACAGTAATATTGTGAAATATTATTATAGTTTAAAATAACTATTTTCATTTTGAATATATACATTTTTTATTTACTCTGAATTTAATCAGCCTTTACTTCAGTCATCAGTGTCACACGATCCTTCAGAAATAATTCTAAAATGCTGATCGGCTGCTCAAGACACATTTCTTATTATCAATATTGGAAACAGACGTGCTGCTTAATATTTTCGTGGAAACTGAGATATACATTCTTTAGGATTCTTTGATGAATAGCATTTATTTGAAATGGAAATCATTCAATGCATTCTTGCTCAATTTTTTTTTTTTTTTTTTAAAATCCCAAATTTTTGAACTGTAGTGTAATTGGAGCAATTGCAATCTGCATTATATCCTTTTTTTAAATAACCTCAGGTCAGGTGGAAGACAGTCCAGATTCAGTGCCCTTCTACACCTACCATCCCAGTGAACCTTTGAGTAAAGAGCGAGTGGAGGCCTTCAGTGATGGGGTGTATGCAATCGTAGCCACGCTGCTCATCTTAGACATTTGGTTTGTATCCCTCCAAAGCAGTTTGTCATTACTGGATCCAACAGTCCACTAGGTGTTCAAATACTGTGCAATAACAAAGAATTTGCCCAGTGCTTCTCTTTGGTACATCATTTTAAACACCTTGTTAATGTCTTACACAGTGAGGACAACGTGCCTGATCCGTCTGTGGTGAAGAAGGAGTTTGACAACAACCTCGTCGCTGCACTTCAGGAGTACGGTCCCGAGTACCTGGCCTACTTCGGTTCCTTCGCCACCATCGGCCTGCTTTGGTTCGTTCATCACTCTCTCTTCCTGCATGTGACAAAGGCCACGCGCCTCATGGGCCTCTTCAACACGTTCTCCCTGGCCTTCGTGGGCGGCCTGCCGCTCGCCTACCAGCTCACGCATGAATTTCCCAGAGGCTCCCGCAATGAGCTGGAGGCCGTGCAGATCAGCTGCGTCATCATCTTCTTCGCCGGTCTGTTCCAGCTAGCCATGTGGGTAACGGCACTTTTCACGGAACGCGAGACTTTGCACCCATATGTGCGGTACGGTGGACGAGAGCACGCCTTTATGTTGGCCAAGCTCTCGCTCTACCCCTGCGTGGCCCTCGGGACCTTCGTTTTCACCTGCGTCCTGAGCCGCTTCAGCACGTCCATCTTTCACATGATGGAGATTGGCGTACCGTTTGCTTTTCTTGTACTGAGGCTGCTGGTCCGTGTGGTGCTGGTGCTGCTCAGGTGGCTCTTCTGTCCTGCGAGGAACGATTTGGACAGTGTTCCAGTAGAGGAAGAGGACTCACAGCTGCCCATTAATGATATAGTGACTTAGCAGTGAACGGAGAAGAAAACGCCTCAACGTTTAACCTAAAATTAAGGTTAGGCTAGATTCTCGGCCCTTTTGTTTATAATTAATACTGCAGCTGATAGCTTTGCGCTGTTGAAGACGCCCATATCGGTCAAATCTCTCATTTAGTTTAATAGACTGTGGAAGTGATTGATGAGGTCTTCATCATGATGAGTCTTCAGTGTCATAGCAGTGGTCCGAGGAGAGCCCAAGAGCTTTTTTTCTCCTTACAGAAATGCACAAAACAGTTTTTAAGCCTTGGATTTATCAGCATGTTAAAACGATGTCTCAATGTTTTTATGTTTATATTTTAATGTGAATTAAATTACATAGAGGTTTTCACTTCATTCAATCAGTAAGAACTACAAAAGTGTTTTAGGTTATGTTCAGTTATGTGGGTTTTAGTATTACAATTATATTCTTGGTATTGTTTTATTTTAATTAATTATTTTGCACTTTGTTATTCGTGCTTTTGATCTGGAGCTGAAATTCAGGCCTTTATACATTCTATTGGAGGAAATCTTTCATGTAACCGCAGAAACGTCCAAAACCACATGCATTAGGTGAATGCTCTGTCAATGTGTTTGTATAAATCTACTCTTCTTTTAACCTGACAATGAAACTAGTGATGCACCTTAGAATAAATAATGAAGTCACTGTTGCACTTACACTCTGATCTGAATTGAGCATGTAGAGATAATGATAAAATGCATAAGCCATTATAAGAGGTGTTTTGTTTTCGTGGCATTTGAGATTGTTTTGTTAGTATTTCATCTAAATGTTATTACCATACTGACTGTAAGATGTTGTATGTAAAGTGCAATTGTCAAACATTTTAATTTCTAGATTTTTTATTACCATCATATTATCAGTCTGTTAGGATTCTGCTTTGGTTTTGGGAGCCACTGTAGCTGTGTCAGTCCAAATGTTACTGTTTAACTACAAACAAAGATACACTTTTGAGAATAAACTCAAGTGCTGCTTGCAGAAGTACTGCAATTTTGGTGGAAGACTCAAATCATGTAATGATTGTGACCACACTGAGTTTAAGTCAAAAGTGAAGTTTATTCACCAAGTGTAGCATTGCAATAATAACAATAATAATTCTGACTTTTTTCCCCCAGTATTGCCCATAACTTATTACTTTCTTTGTCTTCTGGTAAATATTTACTACTGAAAATTTTTATATAAAAAAAAAAGATCTGAAAATCAAACAGACATAAATACAGGTTCCCATTTTTTAAAACAACAAATAACAAACCATTATGAGCAAGTAATTTGCAATCCATTTTCAGCTAAACTTCTGAACAGTATAAGCTTGCACAATATTATATGTTGGGTAACATAACTTAAATTGTACAGCAGCTCTCAAAAACTAAATTGCTAATACAACTGTGACATCCACAAAATAAGCTATAAACAACTGGAGGTGCAGTCTCTTTTTGGTCTGATAGGATTCATATTACTACAATCGCAACATTCTCACATGACTGCATCTACTGGACAGCAGATGTGAAGGAAAGGAACATGTAACCTATTGCAGACAAGAATGAATAAGGTAAGGGGTCACACTTGCCTTTTTTTAAAATTTTTTTTAGGTTTTACAATACACCCATCAACAACTGGTCCCAAACTACACGACTGAGTCCCGATGTGTAATTAGGGCGAAGGTCACAGGTTATTACAAATCCACTTCTTTTAACTAAACGCCTAAAAAAGTGTGATGATAACCTGTAGTAATGTTCAGCAGCTCTCAAAAACTAAATTGCTAATACAACTGTGACATCCACAAAATAAGCTATAAACAACTGGAGGTGCAGTCTCTTTTTGGTCTGATAGGATTCATATTACTACAATCGCAACATTCTCACATGACTGCATCTACTGGACAGCAGATGTGAAGGAAAGGAACATGTAACCTATTGCAGACAAGAATGAATAAGGTAAGGGGTCACACTTGCCTTTTTAAAAATTTTTTTTAGGTTTTACAATACACCCATCAACAACTGGTCCCAAACTACACGACTGAGTCCCGATGTGTAATTAGGGCAAAGGTCACAGGTTATTACAAATCCACTTCTTTTAACTAAAAGCCTAAAAAAGTGTGATGATAACCTGTAGTAATGTAACTTTTGTTCATGTAAGTGCCTAAATAAATATCTAATTTGTTCAATCTGTTATAGGATTGTTCTCTACTGTAAGATTGTAGCATTTGACAATGTTAATTGCGGTGTGAGATTTAGTTTGTTTTTTCACAGCAAAATTGACAGTGCTTTGGTACACATTTGTTTGGTAAAGAATTCAGTAAGATTTCAACAAATTAAAATCAAAAACAAGGTTTTTAAAATCAAGAGCAGAAAAACTATATTTCAGGGAGGATACTGTAAAAATGAAATATATTAAAAAAAATTCTAATAACATGTTTACATATTTTCAAATATTGGATATATACTCAAAGCACCAGTGTTTTTTGATATTACAACCTGAAAAGTTAATTGAATCTTTCAACTCGTGTAGTTACAGTGCAACTAAAACCAATGGTCACGGAGGGAAACAAGAGCAGCCTAATTTGTTCAATCTGTTATAGGATTGTTCTCTACTGTAAGATTGTAGCATTTGACAATGTTAATTGCGGTGTGAGATTTAGTTTGTTTTTTCACAGCAAAATTGACAGTGCTTTGGTACACATTTGTTTGGTAAAGAATTCAGTAAGATTTCAACAAATTAAAATCAAAAACAAGGTTTTTAAAATCAAGAGCAGAAAAACTATTTTAGGGAGGATACTGTAAAAATGAAATATATATATATAAAAAAAAAATTCTAATAACATGTTTACATATTTTCAAATATTGGATATCTACTCAAAGCACCAGTGTTTTTTGATATTACAACCTGAAAAGTTAATTGAATCTTTCAACTCGTGTAGTTACAGTGCAACTAAAACCAATGGTCACGGAGGGAAACAAGAGCAGGTAAAAACTATATTTCAGGGAGGATACTGTAAAAAATGAAATATAATAATAAAAAAAAAATCTAATAACATGTTTACATATTTTCAAATATTGGATATCTACTTAAAGCACCAGTGTTTTTTGATATTAAAACCTGAAAAGTTAATTGAATCTTTTGACTCGTGTAGTTACAGTGCAACTAAAACCAATGGTCACGGAGGGGAACACAGCAAATCATCACCTTCTCCCCCGAAAACAACCTGCTCAAGTTATTCTCCACCCCTAGAGGTTTAATCATGCTAGATTGAAGAAAATAAGACAAATCTAGGTCTTTTTGCATATTTTCATAACTTACTATTTTATAGAATTTGTTAAGCCTTATATATTATATTCATAAATGTATAATCTCTCTCTATATATGATCTAGTGTATAATATCTATGTGCAATCATACATATGATATGTACACACACGTGAGTTAATTTAGCGCTCACACAAACACAGTGTGTAATGGGAAAGGGAACATGGCTATTTTAAGCAGTAACAGTAGGACTTACAGACATGCTTCTGTTTTAGATTCACTGTTTTGCAATGCTTCGAGTTTAGGACCCCCGTTATAAATTAAGCTCACATTTAAATGTTAACCATGAGTATTATGGCATCTCAAAAACCTAAAGTCACCACCATGAGTTGTTGATTTTGCAAACCAGGCCAGAATCACAAAATCAGTACAATGATGTCACTCTGCTGAAGCCCCCTTCCTGTAGTGCTATACATTCACTTACCATGTGCTTGAATCTTTTATTTTGCATGGTTGTTGATTGGAAGACCTCTAATGTTAAGAGAGCCATGTCGCCCCCCTGTGGTCAATTTGCTCCTTCATTTGGCGAGTTTCTAATGGGTTAAAAGTGAGAGTTTGGTTTGCAGCGGGCGTCACTCTCTCTCACTGAATGGGAGCTCCTGTGGGCGGTTGGGAGTGTGCTGTGCAGTCACAGTCATGGGTGGATGCTTACTGAGTTCAACAGGACATGAGCTGGAGACGTCTGTCATTGGGCTTCCTCCACAGCAGGGGGCAGCATGCCCTGTTCTTGTAAGTGGTTGCGCAGCGTATTGAAGATGCTGAGTTGCTGCTCTGGTTGCAGGACAAGCAACTGCTGTAAAACCTTACTGGGATTCGGCCCCCTGGGGAAAAGAAAAAAAAATATGTGTCAAACATGCTTCCTGTGTGCACACCTCTGGCATTACAGAAAGAGCTGATATTGAAATCAAAATGCTAAATAATAGTTCTTTTTGCAATGTATCAGAAGTGAAAACATATGTTTTTGAACTTAAACCTTTTATGCTTTAAAAAAAAAAAAAAAAAAAAAAAAAATATATATATATATATATATATATATATGTGACCTGCTCCAACATTTCCTCATGCCACAGTGCAAACAAACCCAACATTGGACACAATAAGAAATAGAATATAATAACAATACAGTAAACTATCAAAAAATATGTTAATGATAAATAGATAAATACTTTGTGTGTGTGTGTATATATGTATAAAAATAGAATAAAACAGAAAAAAATCTCTTGCTCTCTCTCTATGAAATAAAAATAGAATAAAACAGAAAATATTTTATGTAAATTTATACAATATATATATATACCGAAACTGTACAATGGACAAAAATAGTATAAATAAATAAAATAAAGTATGAATATATCTAATAATTAGTGCTGTCAAACGAGTAATCGCAATTAATCGCATCCAAAATAAAAGTTTTTGTTTACGTAATATGTTTATGTGCTGTGTATATTTATTATGTACAGGTGCATCTCAATAAATTAAGTAGTTTGACCAATAGCGTGCAGGCATTGTACATAATCGACCAATCGAGGTGTATGACGAAGGGGGATCTACAGACAATGGTCAAAGCAATGCAAGTACATGTACATATAATGTATGAAGACTGTGTAGTGGATTCCAAAAGCAACACATTTTAGGCAATTTAGAAATCCTGAAAAAAAAAGGATCCTCGAAGGTCTAATGGTGACTTACAAAGAAACTCAAGACCACTGTTGCAAAGAATCCCCCAATGAATCCTTCCCAGGTCTTCTTTGGGGAGAGCTGGAAGAGAGAGCAAAGAGGTTTGAGATAAGATCATTTTCATCCACAATGCATTCAATCATGGAAATTTACTCATTAGTTCAGAAAATGAAGAGACGGAGAAGGTTTATCAGAAATGTTTAGTGCTGTGAGAAAACATCTACCATGCAAATATCACAGGTTCACCTTAATCAGTGGAGTTCTTCCAAAAAAGAAGCCAAATAGGTAGGCCATGATGTCATTACAGATCACAATAGAGATGGGAACAATAAACCTAGAGAACAAATTAGTTTTATTTTACAAACACATACTGTAGGAGAGAAGAAATTGCAGTGAACAACAATACATAAATTACAACGGGAGAGAAGTTTCAATTAGTTTCATTTACATTAGTGAATTTTTTTTTTTAATACATTTAACTAAAAACTGAGTGTTTCTGCTCTCCCTTGAGCAGCAAGTTATCATGTGGAACATCAGGAAGCACAGGAATGCAGCTTGAGAAACTCGAGTAGGAGTGAGGTGAAACCTCAGACAGGTCTGTCAGGTCAGGTGGGCTTACCAGATCATTCCCTCAAACAGGTTCTGAATAACCAGATGTGACTGAGTCACCACAATCAACAAGGTCACATGGGTCCAAGCAAACTGGAATGGCAAGCACAAACACACACACACACAAAATGGCCATCCACACAGACACACACAAACACAGAGTGAACGGTTGAAATTTTATCTACTTACTTAAACAATGATAATGCAAAGCGAGGTATGGCACATATCCAAACAAACAAAATCACAGCGTGATTTATTTTTGTTGAAATCATTTCTTTTTTTTCTCAAATGTTAATTCAGAAGTCTGTACTAAGACTATAAAATTAAACACAACGAGACAAACATTCTAAATGTTTTGACTACTAAATGCTCAAGCAAACTTGGCTGGAACAAAACATATTTGGCTGCTGAGTGTTTCATTTGCCAGTTTTTAAGTTCATGTGGAATGGGTGTGACCACACTCACAAAGAAAATGAAATTTTGCTGACATCAAAGTAAGTCACAGTTCGAAGCTATTATTAGAGATTCTGAACCACAGTAGCTGGACTCAACCCAACAGCTCAACACTTTGGTTAATAAATAACCAACAATTTACATCAAAACTAAGTTTGCATCCCTTGAAGGAAATATCAGTGCTAGCAAGGCAACAGCTTGAATTTAGGTTTGGGGGTTTTGCCAATAAAAAGCAGCGTCAGAGCCATTGCTGTTGTCATGACACTAATTGAGGGCATCATCATTTCCATTGCATTCTGAATGGTGAAAATTCTAAAATTAGTACTTTTCTTCAGCAAAGATGCATTAAATTGATGAAAAGTGACAGAAATGTTATTTAATGTTACAAATGATATCCATTTCAAATTTATATGTAGTTCTTTTGGAAAAAGAACCCTAAAAAATGTATCACTGTTTCAACAAAAATATGAAGCACTTTTTCAGTAATTGCTGCTGAAAACCCAGCTTTGCCTTTACAGGAATAAATTACATTTTAAAACATATTAAAATAGAAAACAGTTTTTTAAAGTTGTAATAATATTTCACAATATCACTGTTTTTACTGTATATCTGATCAAATTAATGCAGCTTTGTTGAGCATACGAGACTTTCAAAAACATTGAAAAATTGCACTGACTTTGAATGTGTGAACGTTGTGTATATTTTTTTTTTAAAAAGGACACTTAATACTAAAATTATCTACATTGCAAAATTTGAATGAAGTCTGTATGCTAAAAGAACATGAAACCCGCATTCCAGTACTAGATCAGAATAAAAGTAATAAAAGTGCTGCCTTGCATACACTGTTAATATATGGCATGCAATGACTCATATAAACATTATTTGCAACACTTTCACAATGCCCAGTGTATCTAAATGTGAACTCATTATACAGAAATATAACATTAAATGGGACTACTGAGTATCCAAAGGCCCAACACATGATATGCACATGACTGTGAATGAAATGGACAGTTTAGTTCTGGCTGGCATATAAATGACTGATACACACCATATAAAACTGCAGGCGGTAATGTTTCTTCACTAAACTCAGTACAAACATGCAGAAACCTGTAAAAAGCAAATAACATGCGGTTAATTTCCTACAATACAGAAGACATTATAAACCTTATCACTGTTTACTGTATCATTCTGATTTCCATTTAAAGAAATGTATTTGAAAGACAGCAGACAAGCATTTGTTTATCCATTTTTGTTTTGGAAAGCTTCCATATAACTGTTATGACAGCAGCACACATCATTATAGGTTATTTTGTTTTTGTACATTCTTTGTACACACTGCGTTATGCCTTATACTGTAAATTCTGATTTATATATTCTCTATGATGATGACCATTAAGCTGTGCTGGAGAGAGCGCAAAGTTTAGTGAGAAGAAATGACTGCAACAGTTGCCAGCAAGCTGTGCATTTATGGCCATAACAGAGGCAGAGGTACATGAACACAAATCTACTGTACATCTACTTTTGCAGCAGCGTCTCTGTCATGGCCCTGAGCTGCTCCGCACTCATGAGATTTTTATACAAATTTGTGAAGTTCATGCAGTTTGAGTGATGCTGTCATTAAAGCAAAAGGGCAACACAAATATTAAAACATTATAAAATTCATGTTTATTTGTTTATTCAACTTTTCACTCTAAACATTTTTGACACTCAAGGTTGTGCTACAGTTTTGGGCAGTAACGCATTACTTAGTAACGCGTTACTGTAATTTGATTACTTTTTTAGTAACGGAGTAATTTAACGCGTTATAATTTTCAAAATAGTAATTAGAGTATAGTTACAAGCCGAGGTCTCTATACGTTACTGCCGCTTTACATTGCTGACAGAATGCAGAGTTTTATAATCTAGAGATTGTAAAAAGGATGTAGCACATGCACTGTCGAGTCAAGTGCCAGTGGATTAGAGACCTGCTCCCGCGAGACCCAACGCAACAGAGTGCGGCGCGGGACGAGATGGACGAGTGCTGGTGCGGGTGGGTAAACACTCGTGTGTGTGTGTGTGCGGGATACGGGAGAATAAAATGATTCACGGGTCTCCCCGCAAAATAGAAACATCTACACAAAATATCTAAAACAAATAAACTGTTATTCATCTATTGCACAAAAGCAACATGAACTAATATAAAATATAAACGATTAACATGTGCAAGCGTATGCAGAGTTTCTATTTAGGCTATAACACGTGTTTGCAGCATTGAGCAATGCAGTGCTGAAATTTGCGTGCTCACGAATCCTCTCATTATAGCACACGAATTCTAGACATTATGAAAAATTCATTATGCATATATTTATTGTGTTATAACAGAGATTTGTGAGATTATAAATGCAGAGCTCTTTGCTGGCATTCTTCCATGCCAAACCATGCACGCGGCAGCCGCTTGCTTTAGTTAAAAATAACAGTGTTCTGTGAATGTTGATGCTTGATTAAGCATGCATGCTGGGATTTCATAAATTTCATGGAGGAAAAAAGTAATGTAACTAGTAATGTAACTAATTACTTTATAAATAAATTAATTATAACAGTAACGTGATTACTTTTAAAAGGAGTAATCAGTAATTTGATTACATTTTCAGAGTAACTTGCCCAACACTGTTGTGCTATATGTATGATACAATTCAAAAGTTTGGGGTTGGTAAGATTTTTGAATGTTTTTGAAAGAAGTGCCTTATGATCACCAAGGCTGCATTTCTTAAATTCAAAATACAGTAAATCAGCAATATTGTGGCATATTATTAAAATGAATACTGCCAAAATATATTTTAATTGAAAACAGCTAAGCTGTTTACTCGTCTTCAGTGTCGCACGATTCTTCAGAAATCATTCTAATATGCCGATTTGGTGCCCGAGAAATATTTCTTATTATTATCACAGTTAAACAACTTTTACAAAGTAAACTTTTACAACTTAAACAATTTTTTTCAGGATTAATGAAAAGAATGTTCAGAAGAACAGTATTTATTTGAAATAGAAATTATTTGTAACATTATAAAGTCTTTACTGTCACTTTTGGTCAAGGTATGTGTGCTTGCTAAATAAAAAACCTTTGAACGGTAGCATAGCTGCAGGTGAATAGCTTGTTGGCACAGAGCAACAGCATATTTATATAATTAAAGCATAAAAGCATATGTCAAAGTGACCAAGCATACAATCAACTTGAATACCATTCGATATATATATAATCTATAAACAATATATAAACTACGCTATAAAGCTAAGTGTGCACTGTGGGCTATTGACCTAGAGTCATAAAAGTTTCAGTGGAGTGTTTAATGCGAGTTGCCAGTTACACTCACCTGCTAAATACAGTGCAAAAGAAATAAACCGATGATAACGCACAAGGAACTGCAAAGGTTCCTCCCTTTGAACGAGTGCGCCGAAATAATCAGCCACGGTCTCACCATAAAAGAAGTAGTTCACACAAATCAAGAAGTACCTGAAATACAAGGTGCATTTGTGTCAAGATCTGATGATTTGAGGGAAAGAAATGTATTTGATAGAAACAATACAAGGCCCCTTTCAGCTGCTTGGCTGTCATCTTGTTTTGTTTGGACAAAGTCTGCAGGTGGGGTGTACTTTATGCTAGGTTCCAACATGGAAGTGCACTTTGCTCAAGTCCAGTTAATCACTACTTTATCTATAAAAAGGTAACTGCTAAAACGTGAGAGAGTGGGTGTGTGTTTGCTTGTAGTTGACTGTCCGTACATGAATCAGAGAGTAGGGGGAAGGGTGGAGAGATAAGGGGTGAAAGGAAAGCTTTAAATGGTACCTAGACAGCATTTCACTTACCAGCTAAGAGTCCTAAACCATGGTAGTTCATAGGAATGGTAAACTCTGTAGCCAATGGTTATAATTTCATGAAAACACTTGATCTGAACACCCATAACCTATAAAAAAAGATTATAAAAATGTAAGCTGCAATAAAAACAAAGTATGTTGTAAGAGCTGAACACATTCAAAAAGCACTTTTGAAATTTCTGTCAAACATAGAGTTAAAACACTGTAGGAGTTTTAGTGGTATTTTTATATTATGACAAATCAGGTAGGGTTAAAAATCAGCTAAAATGACAGAATGTGGCCCAAAGGGTTTGTAGGAGGACAGATGAAATGTTTTTTAAATGCTCTCTATAGTAGCCACAAACGCTGGCTAGCCAGGGGTCAGTGTGTTTGTCTTGTTAATTGTGTTTGCGCGGTACATATATGGTTTGTACTCACACTTACCACAAATATAAGCATAATGGGTCCCAAATAGATGATAAGAAAGAAGCCAATGATCATTGTCAATGACAATATGCCTCTTATCCACCAGTTCTTCCACCTGTTGAGATAAAAAAAAAAATTATCAATTTGAATGCAGACAAATAGAAAACTACAGTTTTGCAAGAAACCTGTCCAGACAGTTAAAAAGTTTGTATATGAAAATACATTTATACTGCAAGTACTGTTCAGTTTGATTTAAGTTTCAATGCTGAACATTCAAGATGTATTTATGATATTCTGCGCTTTGTGAGAACAAAACTGATGGGATAGATTTATGCCAATGGTGCCATAAATGTAATAAATGGGGCTCAGTGAGAGGTGTGAATTCTTCGTTTTCTGGCCCACAGTGTAATAAACTGTTTGCAGGTGCCACAACTCATGCAAGCCACTGAAAAGAATGGGAGGGAATTTGTCAATGGAGAGAAAGAGAAAGGGGAGGGAGAATGGGGAAAAAAAAGTGCAGCATCATCACAAAATGTGGTGGGTAGCCAGGCGCCGGCATTCAGGCATGTCATTGGACCAGCACCTCTGCGGTCTTTTAAAGAGGCTGCAGCAAATCCCACCAACAGAACAGCAAAACTGACAAGGATTAGGATTGTTCCTAATAAAGATCCCGTTTAATCTCTTTGAGGGACCATTTCCCTTTTGACCGACCCCTAACCTCATCTGCATATCACTAGAGTCTGTCTTATAAATGTGAATAGCTGAGCAACACACTTGGCTGTATGGTTATGTGTCAGCTTTCAAAGATTAACCAGATCAATTTTTACAATGCACTGATTTTACGAAAAATTCCTTCATGTTTGGAAAGGGTTGTTTTTAGAGAATATTAGTGTACAGGTTTCCTATTTTCCCAGCGAAAACAGGTTCAACCGGTTTGTGATACATCAGAGACTCATAGTTGCCCATGTGGGGCCTAAATATCCATACAGGTACATAATGCCGATGTTGAATGTTTGGGGAGTTGCTCATGAGTTCAGGATCATTGGGTACCTAGATGACAAACCCTCCAGGGCTTTGTTGAGACACTGTGGAGTGTTATCTGTGGAAGGTGGTACGTCTGGTGTGTCCGCTTTGGAGTCGCCCTCTATTTCTCCTTCCCCCTCGCCAGGAAAAGTGAGTTTGTCATCTCCATCTGCCTCCTGCAGAGTGTAAACACACGGTGAGGAAAAAAAAAGAGAGAGAGAATTAATGCACTAATTTCAAGGCAGATAATTATATACACTTAACAACACAGGCATAAACAAACAATTTTATATTGCATTTTATGACACAAAATGTTAACGTGGCATTGTAGTGCAGTTGCTAAAGTGTGTGTGTTTGTTTTAAATAGGGGTGTTTTAACTGGTCTCTGTCAAACTACTTTGTAAACATGGCATCGGTAAATCAACTGCTTTTAAAGCATTTTTGCTATTGGTGATAGACACAATAGGATTTTTCAAATGGCTTTTGGATTAGGATTACTGCAGAAAATAAGCTCTGTGACCAATAAAAGTTTTGTTAATCGTCTAATACATTTGATTATCTTCACAAATGAACGTAACTTATGAATTTTGAAGCCAAATACAATCACCAGAAGCAAAGGGATTATGGAACTAGAAGTGATATATGTGATATTATGGTTTTTGTCTAGAAAAATACATCATCCCTGCAGCACTCTGCATGTTGCAGCTCCCATTCATAGCAATATGAGTGAACTGTCTTGAGTCTTTTTTTATGGAATATTACACAACAACACACCAAGAAATACTTCCAAAAACAATGAATTAGCTGAGAGAACCACCAGACACTTGGATGGAAACTCAAAATAAAACTCACAATTCACAATGTCATAATTCAGTAGTCTTTTGCAACCACCCTGAAATGCAGCCCTTCATGGAAATCACAGATTTACCAGTCAAAGTAATAGAGAGCGACGGTGGATAGGATATTTGCCGGCATGACTTATGCAAATGCTAGACAAATGCCTCTGAGGAAAATCAATCGGGCTTGAGGACATGGCACCCGAGTAGGTGCAGTACAGTAGACTGAAGATACACGTCTGCTCGACGCAAGGTGAAAAGATGCTGCTTTCTCATCTTTCACTGTTGTCTTGGCTAGCACAACACAACGACGAGCCAAAAAACAGAATAAGATATGGCCTGTAACAGTAGCAGAGGAAACTAATGGATGCTTGCTGGGGGGGGGAGTGTACTAAAAGAGTTGAACAAATATGTCATCATAACAGTTTGTGGTTATGATTTAATGAATAACTCAACATGTTCACAAAGGCAGAGTTACTTACTGAAATGTATCATGTCTCATGTAATCGCTCTAACAGTGTTTCAAGCACCAGTTTACAGCATTTATAGTTGAGAGAGAAGAACAATTTACATGTACTGTACTGGATAGATATCCAAATTAATTGATTCAGCATTGAATCAAGATCAGAACTAAATCAAGAGCTTGTGAATCAGAATCAAATCTATTAGTGATATCTGTGTCAACACCCAGCCCTAATGTTCACTGAAAACATCATTATAGGGAAATATTACTGGCTAACAAGGATAGGTCATTGCTAGTTTGTAAGCCTCTACATGTGGTTTCAGCAGCAGCCCACATCCTGGAAAGCCTGATGTGTAATTGTCTCATAATCTGCAATAAATCTGTAATCTGGCTTTAAATGCTGTGCCGGCAGTCTACCACTGCGATCACAGAGCGGTTCACAAAGTAGCTGATCTGCCTTTCAGACCGAAAAACAAACTATTGCAAGCTAAAGAAAAAAAATCCCAACTGCAGCTTGTTTTACAGCACCTAAACGTAAAAAAAGTAAATTAAATTAAATATGTAATACTGCGTAGACCTGATGCTCCTCTACGGCCTACAAACTTTCTAAATAAATAACATTAGCAGTACTTCTATAACAAAGGTTATTTCACATATTCCATGCCTTGTTCCATGTTTTGGCTTGAACTGTCTGTCACATGCATAAATATGAATTGCAGAGGTCACATAAAAGACACACTGTTGTCCAGAAGTCAGTGATTCATGGCCAGAATAAGCTCTGAATGTGCTACAGACTTTATGCCAAGCAAAAGTCTGGTTCCTGTGAGACTATGCTGGCTTAGTTATTCATAGATTTTGTGTATTTTGTGGAGTTTCTTTCAAAAACCCTTACTGACAACCAAATTTGGCAATGTATGAGCAAGATGAACATTGTACAGTTTCCAAAATTAGACAGTGAACCAAAGCCCTTGGACCATGACTGTAAGCAGCTGTGCTGATGAAGTAATTGGGAGCAAGTGTTGAGCAGGGAGGTCACTCATATCTGAATCAAGTCTTAGATTAAGGCTGGTAAAAGAAACCCTCTGCTAACTTTTTAATGAGGACACACTCAAGCCCCCAGAAAACATTCATGGAAATGTACAGATCTGAGCAACACTCATTCCAGCTATCAGCTACATCAGTGTAGTCCAACTACATTTTGTGCAATGTGATAATTAAATGGTTATTTTCGAAAAGGAAACAGAATGCAACAAACAAACTGCAACATTATCCCCTTCAAACTCTGCCAGGACCAGGACAATAGACAGATGAGAAGAGAGAGTTTCCTAACCCTACAGATGAGTAGACCTATTATTAGCCTGAGGGTTTCACTAAATGGTAGTAGCATTCTGCAGTCCATTCAAGAAAAAGAATCAGCTGATATATTTCCACTATTTAAATGACACTCAACAGTCAATAGGAAACTACAGCTCTTTAAACCTAATAGTAAATCACCCAGTTCAAACAGGCTATTTTACTTTCATAGAGTTTTATTTTGTTCCCTGATGCACACTTATAATGTTAGTCAAGGTTTCTTGCATCAGTTCACATACATTTTTTGCAAGTACCCAATTTCATTTTATAGTTTCAACTGTTTGACAAGATAAAACTACATTAGTCTACAAAATGAACCCATAATATGCATTAATTTATTATAATAACAATAATAATAACTTCTTATTATGTTTAATATATTTATTAAAGGGGTCATATGATGCGATTTCATTCTCTTTGGAGTGTTACAAGCTCTTGGTGCATAAAGAAGATCTGTAAAGTTGCAAAGACTAAAGTCTCAAATCCAAAGAGGTATTCTTTATAAAAGTTAAGACTGGTCCACGCTCTCCTAAAACGACTCGTTCAAACACGCCCCCACATGTCTACGTCACTGTGTGGGAAGATTTGCATAACACTGCCCAAATGTTCACGCAAAGAAAGAAGGTGTAACTTTTATTCTCGCTGTAGTATTGTTGTTGCCACCGCCACCATGTCGTGGAGATGCTGTGTGTTTCGTTGTGAAAGCGAAACTACTTTGTTTGGCCTTCCAAAAGAAGACGATATCCACTTTGTCATGTCTAGAGCTGATCCGTGCTGGTCGCTGAGGAAATACATCAACATCACGCAGTGGATTGCCGGATCGGCTTTCACCGTGGACGAAGCGGAGTCCAGCCCGGGGTTGTCACATGTGGTTGCCGCAAGCCCGCCGGCGGGCCACTCCTTCGTTGAATCCGTCGGCCGCACCGTTCTCAAGCACGCCGGCCGCCGCGCACTCTAGCCCGCAGTGTGTGACGCTGTGTGACACATTTTATGGAGGACTGTTTCCTGAACCTGCAGAGTAGATGGGTCTGTGCAGTGGAGCAGTTCCAACTTTGCAAGGACAGCCTGGCGCTTCTGACTCACAGCCTGTAAGTAAATTTTTTATATTTAAAGAATTTGCCACTGATGATTCAAACGCGAGTTTTAAGTAGTGTAGAGTAGCGCTTGTTGTTTGTCATTTCTCCGATCACAAATGCAGACATGGATACGCAACGTGTAAAAACACAGTAGAAGTCATTATAATCAGTAATTATGTCCCCACTGGATGCAACAAATACCTCGTTTATAAATGGGTTTTATTAGTTTTGTCTCGCCGTGCCGGGAGACGGCGTCACAGTATGTTAAGGGGCGTAACATTTCCGTCACACGCGTGAGGTATTCAGCCAATCACAATGCACTGGATAGCTGGCCAATCACAGCACACCTCGCTTTTCAGACTGATGAGCTTTGTAAAAATTTATGCGTTTCAGAAAGGCGGGGCATAGAGGAGAAACAATAATGTACATCATGTGGAAAATAATGTTTTTTGAACCTTAAACCGCATAAACACATTGCATTACACCAATTACACAACATAATGTTCTTTTTAGCAATGTCATATGACCCCTTTAATATTAATATTAAATTAATAATATAAATCCATAACATGCCCTTTAGAAGAGAGAGAAACTGCTGTGTTTGTGTCCTTGAGCGCTAAGTGCTGCACACATGTATCCTACTGCCTATAAGAGTCCTGGATGTGAAGGGATAAGAAGACTAGCCTGCTGATTAGCTGCTCCATAAATGAGACTACACTAATCCCTGAGAGAGAAAGAGGGAAAAGCCCCAGTCCAGCTCCGTCCCAAAAGGCCTAGCGCACACCAAAACATAAACACACAAAAGGCATAAGGACCGCAGCCAGCAGTCACCGCATCTCTCATTCAGTTTCTACCTGCAGAGCCGGTATCTGTAACAGGACGTGCAGAGATCATATAACCAATGAACAGTGGAAATGTCAAAAAACCTGCCATATCATCACTTCAGCAGCCTATTAAATCCTCTCTAAAGTGCTTCAAGGGTGAAAATAAAGTGTAAGTAAAGGACCATATCCTCTGTGGACTTTTTCTGGGGATGACAGCTTGGCCCAGTTTTCACTGTCGCTTTAAATTCTTTACAGCAGTGGCCAAAAAAAAATGGGCTGATCAGGAATTTGTACTGTTGCAGCAAATACCAAAATGGACACACTCATGGTTGATGTCAAAAATGAATGGAGGAGAGTGGATGCAGCAGAATTCCAAACGCAGTATTGCTTACTGTATTATGTGCTAAATAGTCCACTATTGCATTAGGGGAGAAACACTGTTGAAAATACCAGCACAGTTGCTCACCAGTGTTCTGCAGGATACAACAAATAAAATGTCCCCATTACCAGAGAGATTACTCTGAAAGATGTGTCCAGAGAAATGACTACGGCCCATGTGTTAGCCAATCAAATCAATCTCTGAGTTTTGGTGGGACTACCAGTTTTGTCCAACCATGGAAGTTGGGGTAGCGTTTGGGAAATACCATTAGGAATATTTCCCAATTTGGAAAAGTCATTAGAAATTACCTGCAGCAGTTTTTACCCACAAAACTATTTGGTCACCTAGCAATTACTGTTGTCAAACATAGATTAAAAAATATATATATCAATGACTCAAATTAACTGAAAAAAATGTCCACATAACATCTACACTGCCAGGCCTAAACCTAATTGTGTAATTATAAATCACAGAAATTGTGTGATTGTAATATGTGCTGAGTAATCAGCTTTCTGTGGTAAATTGCAGAAGTAGGCCATGACCAGGGAAAGAGAGCGAATCCATCGCTGAGGCCAGGCTGCAGGACATGCTGCACAGAGGTTATGATGGTTCACTGAACAAAGACTGCTGAGGTGTACACTGAGCAGAGAACAATGCTAAAGCCCAGAGAGACTGTGGCTAATGATGCTTCTCTCAATGAGAGGAAAAGAAAAGATTTTAACTGAAAACCACAAGACTGAGCTCTGTAGATAACCTCAATCATCAGTGAGAGTGCAGGGCTGTAAATACTGCTTGTTATTATGAGTGTTGGAGAGACTGACCTTGAGAGAACTGGCTGAGGGGCTCTAGATGGACAGTCAAAGCTCAGCCCGTGAGACATCAGCATTAGTCTTATAAGGTCAGCGGTCTCCAGGACAAAAACACAATGTTCTATCAGAGCCTTAGTGCTTCTTTGACTAAATTTTCCACATTTATTTCCATTAAAAGGATAAACCAGATGCCCTTGCAGAATTATCTGTGAATAAACATAAGTATTTCTGCATAATCAACACTGAATATGCTTGAGTCAGCAGTCTTGGTCACATCACTTTAAGATTTTTGGGAATATTATTTTTTAAGTAAAACAATAATTGTATTAGGGCTGCACGATTAATCAAATGCGATTGTCGTGCGCATTTTGTTAAAAAAGCCGGTTCTGTAACCAGCAGGAAATCATAATCACGTGCTTTCAGATGGAGCAGAATTTACTACACATAGCCGTAGTTCACTGCGCGATTCTGAAATCGAAGAAATCGTTCGCGATAATGACAGCTGTTTGCATAGCTTCTCAGTGAACTACGGCTCTGTGAAGTAAATGCTGCTCCATCTGAAAGCATGTGAAAATACCACATTTAATAACATATTTTTTACTCCAAACTCACTTCATAATGTCAGTCGAGTGTTTGAAATAAATTCTTCTGTGAGATGATATGGCTTCTTACACGGAATAAGGCATGCAACATATTTCATAGTATTTAAGCAGTGATAAAGGCATTGCATTACAAAGCACATGTGTCTAGACTCTAGACGAGTATTCATAAAAACAAAAGAATTGATTACAGATAGCAAAATGCTGACATTGAACATTTTCACAATTTGAACTAAAGCACCTTCCTTCAATTATTTCTTCCAGATAAATGACTAATAATACACTTGCTGACCCAAAACTTATCTTTCAGCTCTTAAATAAATATTTCCCAATATAATATATATAATATGCGGTCTGGGCCGTATTCCTGACGAAACTGGACCCGATCAGCGAAAACGCATGAAATGACCAGGTGTAAACAGGCCCTAAATGAGAGAGACGCTCACTCAAAATACTCAGAACGTTCCAGACGCGTCTACCACAAATGCTGTCTAGGTAGGCAGCTCAATAGGTTTTGCGACACCGCCACTGACACTGTGGCTTTGTCGTGTGTTTGGCTCAGCAACTTCATGAGGCAACCGACAGTTTAAGATGAAATATATTAAAGAAACAGTCCCCGAACGCAAAAGCCGTCATATAAAATCCTAATATAGCCTAAAACAAGTTTTAGTGTAATATCTTCTCAGGTTGAAGCGGTCTGACTGGTTGCTCGCTAGCTGCTTAGCTAGAAGGTCATTCGCAGTCGACTGAGAGAAATAAAGCCGTTTGAATGAGCGTGTGCTCGATAAATTACCTTGTCACTGATGTTTTCAGTGCTGTCAGGGTCTCCTCCTCCTCCTCCTC